GAGTAACCAGCACCCCTCAATTTCATTTCCTATAGGGAGCATTGCTGGTGTTGCTGTTGCTTTGCAGACCCTGTTGAATTTATAGAGAAAGAAATAATCTGGTTTTACTCCAAAGAACTGAAGAAGGGACGTTCTACGAGGATATTGCTGTATTGCTGGGAGCAGAGCGAGCTAGTGGGGCCTCAGCTGGGACATTGGCTTTTGTTCTCTGACCACGTCTGCCTCCACTCTGGCAACACCAGTGCTCGTAAAACTTGTCGAGTATCGTGTGCGTTTTTAAAACAGAACAAAGAAGTGCCTGGCCATCTGGGCTGAGGACACCCGCTCACAAGGCAGCGGCAGGTTTACAGTGGAGGGTCCGTTCTGGGTGCCGCATTTCAATTCTTCCAGGCTTGTGCGCGCGATCGAGTCGCTAACAGCTTTTGTACAGCCCCATTAGCGCAAGCAGTGAGAAAATTGACAGGAACCGTGAGGAATGGAGAATTTTCTCAGCTGTGATGCTGAGGAGGGTTTTTTTTTGAGGCACTTACAGTCCTTCGCTTGACATCAGTCGTAGGGCTGGAAGGGGTTTCTCCAGGTCACAGAGTCCTGCGTATTGCTATCACGGGCGCTGCATCCCATCCTTCTGTCCGTTAATTTGTCCGTCTCATGCTTCAAACTAGCTGGATTATTTTTTTGGCTCCACTGGTTGCTTTCTGCAACTTCTTCCCTTTGATCTCCTTTCTTAGCCGGTATCTCTCTCGGTCGTGCCAGCTGTGATCTTAGCAGACCAGTGCCCTAAAGTATGTGGTGCAATCAAGAAAAGTTCTTCTGAATTCTTCCCTGCGACTGAACCTCCTATGACCGTCCTTGAAGCACAGCCTGCCAAGCTGTGCTCCTGCCCTCCTCCTCCAGAGACTTGGACTCCATCTGACTCCACAGCTTTGACCATCGTCTTCCGCCCGCTGTCCTCTTCCTCCATCCGCTCCAGCTCCAGTCAAGTTCATAAACTTCAAGCTGGTGGCTGATTTTCCTCCTGTCAGCTCTTCATAATAGCGTGACCCCAGTCGCGTATCTCTTCAATGGCCTGACGCTGTCTGAAATCCGTATTCTCTCCCTTTTATTCTCCTGTCTGCAGATGGCTCTGTGTTTTGTGCTCTCCTGCTACCTGGCGTATTCTCTGCCCATCGCCTTTATACCCCAGACCTCTCTCGGTTTAGTTTTTCTTCCCAGGGACCCAGCTGTTCTCCTCCTCTTTGTTATTCCCGGTCTTTGGTTTCTTCTTGTTCTCATTGTGTCGAGGCCCTTTGTCAGCTTTTCTTTCGCATTCACTGGTGTTTCTCCCTGTCCCTTTTGGGATCTGACCTTTCATGGTCACTCGGCTCCCAAAAAGTCCTCTTGTTCAGTAGGTCTCTGCAAACTTCAGATTGTCTGTCTCGTTCACACTTCCTCTTGCTACGACCGTACGTGAAGATCCCCCGTCTCAACTCTTCTCAGTTCTTTCCAGCTCGCTTCTAGAGCTCAGCAGTGCTCTCCGAGTTACTGCCGTCGAGGCAAATAGTCATCCGCGGGCACATCCCCTTCGTTCTTCTATTCTCTCGTCTTCATTGTCTTCTCCAGCCTTTGGATCACATCCACTGGAGATGCCCCATCTGCGCTTCCCTCCCCTTTATGCACACACATCCCAAAAAATAATAATAGGAGATGAAAAGTCCCACAGGTTTCCCCACCTGTAAACTCTTTTTTTTTTTGCGTCCGTTTGCTTGGCTGCCTGCTTGCCCTTTGCTTGCCTTCTCAGTTGGTTGCCCAAGTGAGCCCTGCTCTCTCCTTGAAGGTTGGCCCTTGAGTATCTGTCAGAAGGAAGTAAAGGCAGAAGCCTCCCTCACGTTTGCAACCTGCAGTCAAACCACCGACCCCACGGGCTGAAAGAGCGAGAAGCAAGCCGGCAGAGAGGCATGCAACCCACACAGAAGACCCTGCTCCTTCCTCCTCCGGTGGAAATCCCAGCGGTAATAGGATGATGCCTTCTTTAAAATGCTTGGGATCTTGGTGAGCTCGCCCGTGTTTTATGTCTGCGTTGTTATTTTCTCTCTGGAGATGTTTTGTGTGCTGGAAGTGACAAATTTACATTATTGGAAAATCATTGTTTCTGCTTTTGTCATATGTTTTATTCATTGCAAGCCATTAGTTTAATATGGCTGTGGTTATGTTACCGGTTGAAAACAGGCCACCTGTGGCATTTTACACCGAATTGCTATGAACCGGTACACCCAAGCAAAAATCAGGTCAGCAAAGCCACGAAGAGATGACAATTGTGCTTCTGTGCTTAAAACTGCGGGTCTCAGCTTAGCCTACAAATAAACCAAAGACTTGGCTTGCAGGATGAAGCTTTCTGCAGCAACACTGGATCAGCTCTTGCCCCTCAGGCTGGCTCCTGTGGGTTAAACATTGAACGGTCAGATGTTCAGTAGCATCCTGATTCGTCTTATGTGCTTGGATAACTTGAAAGTGGCCGTGACCCTCCTGTGAATATAAATATTATGAAGGATTTAAATGGTGGTCGTACTCCAAGTCCTGTCTAGGACTGAGGCTGTGTTTCAGTGAGAAGCCGTGGCCTGTCCCTTGGGGGACAGCAGGTTCAAACCGAACAAAAGCGGGTCCGTTTCGCGCAGCGCAGAAGCCGCCGCACACGCGTTCGCGCGAGGTGCCGGGGAGGCCAGCAGCGTCAACAAGGTTGGAAATAATTCGAGAAATTAAGAGAGTCAATTGTGGATGCGGTCTCTGAATGCTGAAGCCCCTCAGGTGCAGGTAGGCACAAGCGAGGCACGCTGGCGGAGCCTCTCTCCTTTTCCTCTTCAGCTGCAGGTGACGGCACACAGATAAGCCTCTATCAGAGCATCACCTCTGCACTTCAGAAAGACGCTGGAGATCAGAGTATACAGAAACGTTGCTGGGAACCTTCTGTACGTTGAAGGCGATGGTCCCATCGTCCACACCGAGTGCGTCGAAGCGAGCAACAGGTTCAGATCCGTCCGTGTTCATGCCAAACGCGCCCTCCTCCAACCCTACCTGCCGGCAGCTAATCGAAGTGGAAGATCTTTGCACGTTTTTCTCCCACCTGGCAAACCACGAGGCTGTGCAAAACACATCTACCAGGTCACAATCTATTGCAGCTCCTTACTCAAGCCAGCTTCTCCTTCTCCCAGAGCTTCCTTAGGCAGGCAGCCAACAGCCCCCTCCCCAGAAGTCACTCTGGCCCGTGGTTCTTGGGTCTCCTGAGAAGCCTCTGGTTTTTCTGAGGCTTAAGATATTTTATTAATATTTTCATTCCCCGATATTGTAAAACCTTAATTTATTAATATTTATATTAATTAGGATACGTGTAATAGGCAGGAGATATTATCGAGGAGGAATGAAGTTGCAGACTGTTAGAGGAAAATGCAGAGCAGCTTTCACACTCCGAAGTTAATCTTCTTCAAGTTGCATGGAAATAACTCCCAACGCTGCCTGATCTGTGCCTTGGCGTTTCGAGTCGCTCCCGTTACCACACGTCAGCAATGCTTCGGCTGGAGCTTTTCTCAGCCGCCGTGGGAGCCCGGGGTGGTGGGGAGGGTGCGGGTGCTGGCAGGAGAGAAGGGTCTTACTGCCGCAAACCGACTCGCGTTTTGAGAGCTTTGAAATACGGATTTGCATCAAAGTAAAACTCTGAGGGTTAGTTAAATATTCCTCTAAATATGCAAAGGAATTGAGTTACTGATGCTTGTTATTCTTATCTTACTGTCGGTGGCACAACATCTTTAAGTTCAGTGAAGGTTTCACTTACTAAGGCGGTTGTAAAGATTCCACGTTAATTAAGAGGACTCCACTGCAAATCTGAATATGAATGAAGTTC